GCTGCTAACAACAGCTTTCAAATATGTATAAAAAGTAAAAAATGTCCTGAAATGAAAATGAAAATCACATTATAGTGCATTATCAATCACATTTACAGCAGGTAATGCACTGAGATAGTGGTTTTCATCGCATAAACATAATACAAATAAGAGTAAAGGTCAGTACGGCAGTATTAATGTACGCTGAAGTCATCAAAGCGTGAAAATTCAACCCTTAAACTGGTATGGCTGCCAAAAGTAAAAAATCCTTGTTTTACCTGCAAGAAACAGCAACAACAGAAGTCTGCTGTGGTTTGAACGTCGTCTGTTCTGCTCAGATGTGCAGGTTTTATCCATCTTCTGTCAGAATCTGACGTGTAAACACCAGCAGGAAATAAGAGAAATGTCAAACATCAGCAGGCACTCAGCTCTTATCTGAGCGAGCTGAGAACAAGCATATCTGCTTTATTGGTCACTCTGATAATATATTGATTGGATTGGTCCTCATAGCGGATATATAAAAAGTTTTCCTTTAAATTTCTTTTTCCAGATTTTCTTTAGCAGCAGCATTTTCAACACAATCGTGACAGGACATTGCTTCAGTTTTTCAGATGAGGGTCCCTGCAGTTGTGGGAGTAAGTTCTTTTTTTTTCTGGCTCAGATCCAGTTTGAGAGAGTGATCTGCAGAGTTTTATGGTTCTGAAAGTGAGTCCAAAACATGGAATGTCACAGCTCTGATTTCTGTTAAGAGGAAAATGTCGTTTTGATGCAGGTTTTATCTCGGATTATTCGAAATAACGTAAAAAAGAATCATTGCTCTGTGTAAAAATATCAGCTGCAGAGGAAGCAAAAAAAGGCTGTGAGCAGTAGTCCTGGAGTAGAGCGATAGACGTTGATATGGTGTGAGTCACCGAATTATTCACTTTTGCCCTCCCAGCATTCCCTTTGGTGCTGTACAGTAGATGAACTCGCCCTTCAGCTCCAGAAATAACCTCCATTATCTGAATTAATTATCAAAATGCAAACAGATGAAAAACCTGCTGCACAAAGAACACACTGACTGAGTTGATGGAAGGAACCACAATGAGCAAGAACATGACTTCTATGGATGATGGAGATAATATCACTAAACTGAGTCTCTTAACTATTTCACAGGTCACTTTTATTGAAAGCAAAAGAAACAACTAATTACATCACTTCAACAACATTATTTCTACAAAAATACAAAAAAAGTCAAGAACATATTTGCAAGTTTCTAAGTGGGAGCTTGTGCAACTTTGTGTGTGTGTGTGTGTGTGTGTGTGTGTGTGTGTGTGTGTGTGTGTGTGTGT